ACAAGTTTTCCTTGACAAGTTTACTTTCTCGTGTGCATGTACAGTCAACAAGTTTTCCTTGACAAGTTTTGTTGCTCATGTGCACGGAATGTTGTTAATCATTTATCTCACGTCAAGGCCGACCTTTTGTTTTCCAAAACCATAGAAGTATTTCTTGTCAAGTTTTCCTTGGCGAACAAATTTTCTTTATCCAAGAACTGGCATGACCAGTTTCGAAACAAGGAAAACTTGTCAACTTTTTGCTGTACACACGAGCAAATAAAACGTACGTAATTGTCAAGAAACCGCTCATTGATTTCAGTCAAAAGTTCTTTCAAGTGATACAAACGAAATTTTTATTGCCAGTATCTTTCAAATTGATTTCTAGGACGAAGACTGTCAATATTTGAGTTTTCAAAACTTATTGTAGCCATTATATATTTCAGATGTTAACATATTTGATGCTGGTCAGGCTAGCAAATCTTTGTCCAAATGCGGTGCTTCAACGTAAGTTTTTAGCATATGGATGATTCACCTTTATTAATGTAAGCGACCATTGCAATGAAATTGTTGCGTTTGTAAAAGCTCCCAAAAAATTTCTAAATGATATGCAATGCAGGCTGGTTAGCATCGTTGCCAATGACTGCACGCCGATGCTCCCTAAATCTTGTCCTTAAATATCTTCCAGTTCCCCCAATATAAAGCATGCCACATCTACTGCATGAGATGCAGTAGATGAGATGGGAGGAGGTGCACTTGAAATGGTGTTTGACACTATAGCGCTACCATTAAGGGACCATTGACCAATCAGATACGTTTAATCGCCCGATCAACCAATCAGATGAACACAGAGCATGTGAGAGGAAACGGTAGTTGAAGTCAAATCTGCACCGTCTCTAATATTCTTAATCTACATCATCTTGTAGATCTGAATTCTCTTATTGAACCTCTACGAGCGACGATACAACAGAAGGTGAAGGCGACCTCCGTGAAACAGGAATTTGAGAAACAGGATGAGCTAAAACGTTCAGCATTAAGAGCGACCGTCGCTTTACTCAACGTTCCAGACAGCAGTAAGTTATTCACGTATTGATAATGTTATCGGTATATCGAAACCAACTAACCAAGCGAGGCGGGGGATGGTCTGATTGTGACCACTTAAGTTGTGGCTATAGGTTTGTGGCTGTAAAGCAGGGGCGGATCTAGCCTCGTCTGCAAGGACGACTGATTAAATATCTAAATTACTAAATACCCGATTATTGACACGATTAAACACCTGATTAATCTACTATCTCGATACCTAAATTACATCGGAAAGTTTCAACAAAAGTATTCATATATTGAAATTTCATTTAGTCGAACGACTAGCATTATTATTTTCACACAAAATATTTTTTTGCCTGATAATGGCATGTAGGGATTGTCACCTTAATTTGAAAAAGCACCATGAAGGCTCTGTAGAAATAGTAGAGATGAGAAGGTTTTAATCAGTTTAAAAAGTGGTATCAAAGTTTCTGTGATCACAGTAGGAATTTTGCATACAGCCTATAGGTAAAAATAGATTTTGAAGGATTTGTACCACAAAGACAGTTTCCTCTAAGATTTTTTACCGGTGCAAAATTGCTACTGTGATCAGCGGCGGCGGAACATATTTTACTTTGGGGGGGACTAAATTTTTTTTTCGTGTTTAAAATTTCCTCCCCCCCCCCCCCAT